CTGGCGATTTGTTCCTTGGCCCCTGGCTGCTCTCACGCTCCCCCGCGCGCTGCCGTGGACGGGTCGGGGAAGAGTAAGGGTTTACCCAGGCCAACGGGCACGGTAGTTTTGATGGTGGTTGCCATGATGGCCGATGAAACACCACTGAAGAATGCTTCGTGGTGGGGGGGGATTGAGCGGGTTGGGGAGGGGGTTGGTGGCGCTGGGGGGGTGGATGAGGGTGAGCAAGGGTTGCAGGAAGAGGAGGGAGTGGGGAGTGGGGTAGAAGCTGGGTTGGATGAGGACGATGATGAGGAGGAGTCGGCGCCGCCGGAATTTGATCTACGGACGGGGAAGCTGGTGAGCCATAGTCGCCCGATGAGGAATGGGGCTGGGAAGGCCAACGGGAAGTCTAAAGCAGAGGGGGTTGCGGCCGGAACTGAGGCCAAGTCGAGTAGTGCGCTGGCGCTGCGACCCAAGGCTGAGCTGGCCACGGTCAACGGAGTGGTTAGTCCTGGGGCTGAGTACCTACGAGCGCAACGGACGTGGCAGGGGCTGGGAAGTGATTACGTGGCGGAGGAGAGCACGGCGATTGAGGAGGGGAGGAGCGGCATTGCGAGGGGCTACACGGTTGGGAGCGAGGAAAGGAGGTAGGGATGGGAGGGAAAATAAAGTTTAGGGCGTTGGTATAAATGAGCCAAAGAATGCTGCCCTACTAATCACTCCTACCTTGGATCAGTGCGGTTGGTTCTAGCTCGCTTGACAGACATCCAGCCATCGAAGCTCGAAGGTCTGATCAAGTCACGACAGTTATTGCATTCGTCTATCTCTAGCGCCAGTTTTTGTATCTCTCTTCTCGTCTCACCAAATACCCCGAGAAGATTCTAGGAGTCCCCCTCCCCAGCCAAAATTCCACACCAAACCCAACCCTTCACCCATCACTCCCATGATCAATGATTATAGCCCCCCTATCAACCAACTCCCCTCCCTCCTCAACCCACCCACCGCCCTCCACCCCCGTACCAAACCCCACACCACAACCCCAGCCCCAAACGCCGCCAGCCACGCCGCACACATCCCAACGGCGCCGATCAAGAAGCCCCCGATCAGTTGTTGCCCCGTGCTCCCGTACGCCCAGGACGAGAAATAGGGTGTGAAGGTTGTTGCGTTTGGGGTTGGGGTGGGCTTTTCTTCTGCTTTTTTTGCTAGGGCTGGTGCTGGTTGGGTGGTGGTGTTGGGGTCGGGTTCGGTTCCTTGGGGGGTTGCGGGGGTGGCCTGGGCGGTTATTACGTTAGTTTTGTCGGCGTTGTTGGTGTCGATGGGGGCGGTGAGGCGAGCGGCGATGTGGATGGTGTTGTTGTTGTTGTTGTTGTCTGCGGTGTGGGCGGTGTTGTGGTTCGGGGAGATGATGACGACATCATCGGTGATGTGCCGCGTCACCGGGGAGGGTAGAGCTGCTACGAAAAGTGGAGTGCGGTTGTGGCTGTGGCGAGCGATATCGTCAAAGAGTGATGAGATAGCAACAATGATGGTGAGGATATGTATCCGGGTAATTAGGGAGGTTGGTCTCCAGGAGATGAACAAGGCGGTGAATGTGATGCGGGCTGAGATGGCGCCGGAGTTGCCATCTTTGTTGGTTTGCTTGATGACTCTTTGTTTCCGTTACTTTTGAGAGTGAAGGACGGGTTTCTGAACGTCAGAGGTGAGCTTTGTTTTCAGGGAACGAAAGTTGCCACTGTAGCAAGTCCGTGATGTGCGAGTTGGTGATTGCTGCGTTGGTCAGTCTCAGAATACTATGGAAGAAAAGGGCCAGGAAGACTCAGTCTCAGCACTTTGTGAAGCTACCATGTGACGTACAGCCACAATAGGTAAGCGGGGGTGTGCTTTATGGACAAGGAGTTCAGATGACAAGGGGTGCCGAGGAGTGATAGCGATCCATATCCACAATCACATACGTAACCAAACTTCCACTTCCAATTGCTGAGCATCATCCAAGAAATATCAGCTGAGACGACATAAAAGAGTCAGCCCACAGGTAGATCTGAATCGATTCAAGCCCCTTAAATAAGATACTACTACCATGACATGGTGCAACGCAACTCCTTCAACGACGATGAGAAACCAGCCACAGATTTAACAAGAAGCTTGGCCTCGCATATATAAAGCGGTATTAGATCCGAAGGTATCAAATAAAAAACGGAATGTCAATGTCAAACGAGCAACATAGCTTCCGTACCTCTGTTCCCCGATGAAGAAATCCAGTCCCAAGATGGGAATCTCGGCCCTTGCAGTTGCCATTTGTTGAAACCAATGCTCAGCCACTGCCCGCAGGGGTACTAGCAGCATAACGAAAGGATTTGATTCACAGCGATGGGGGCGGTATAGTTGTTAATCACCCTCCGCCGGCCCTCCCATGGCCACCGTAGCTCGCAGATGATATATTCCATGCCCCAGAGTCTGTTTAGTAAAATAATAAGCAAGACTGGTCCAAGGCAACAGCGTAAGTGTAGACGTACGACGAAACCGGTGGAGATATTGAGCTGGGGAAGGTCGTTCTCGAAACGCAAACCGATGCCCCTAAAGATTTCTCCCAAAGTTGTACCCGAGGGAAACTTGCGCTGAATCAAGGCATGACGGCGACGCGTATTATGAGCTTTGTAGTTCTCAGCAATATCTCCGTTAACCTTGTGGCGCGGGGTTATATAACAGTTGTTGAAACAGTGAGCGCACTTACCGGGATGCGGGAACGCATCCAGCTGCAATGTCAATTTTTTTCTTTTTGGTTCCGGTCCAGATTCCGGGACGCTGAGGATACGGAACAGGTCCCGGATTGCGTTGCCGATGGTGAGGCCCTTATGAACTGACCAGAATATGGATTCATTGTAGCCGCAAAAATGACACGAGTAAATCGGGGAGCACAACTTGGAACCGAATATGTCGAACGAGTCGCCGCCTCCGCTCGTTTTGTCCAACAGCAGTCTCAAAACAACCGAGGGAGGCCCCCCTGAACTTCAACCGGCGAAAGTTTTCCTTCTCCAGAACGAGTTGCCATTCTCTGCAGACAGATGCCAAAGAGCCCCAACCTGGGGGCTTTTCCTCGGTGATCACCTCTAATATCATAAGACGAATCTCGGCGGGCAGATATGCCCAGGAGCGTTTCCACTTGGATGCTGCGCGAGTAAGGACGGGCATCGTTCCTTGTCAACGAGGAAAGCTGTGGCAAGTATCCAGAAGAAAGGGGTTGTCGGTGGTAACGTATGATGGCTATGATTGTCGGGTAGATATTGAACTGCCTGGGTGAACTCAGGTTGTGGAATATTCTTGAATAAGGTGGATGAAAAGTCAATAGTGGCCATGCAGGTCGCTGGTGGAAGATATTTTCGTCTGCTTCATATGGACGCGTCATACACAATGAAGAGAGTGTCATAGCTACGACTGTGGCATGATACCAACAGCCCCGAAGTAATTGCCACCCGGCAGCAGGGAATAACCTTGCCGAAACGGTCACCAGGGTGAGCAGAAATGGGGTGAGCGAGCGCGAGAAACGACGAGGCGGGCGGGTGTGTTGGGGCGTAGGTATCTCGATTCGCGTCATGAAACAGAAAAAAAGACATTACAGATTACATCCAACCTCATAACCCAACAACGATGGCGCCCACCGCCAACCCAACCCCCACAGCAGCCCCAGCCATCCCGGTACACCTCGGAAGCGCAACACCAGCGTTGCTCGAGTTCGGCCCCTCCCCATTTCCCTCCCCCGCCCCTGCCCCATTTGGCGCCCCCGTCGGTCGCGCCACCGGGCAGCTCTCGGTGCACGGCAAATTCGAGGCAAACGGTGTTGGCACATCGGTGCCCGTGGCGGTGGCGCCGACGGGGGTGAAGACGGGCGACTGGGCGGTGGTGAGGGTGACGTCGGGGCGAGCGCCGGTCTGGTCCGGGTTGAGGACGTTGTCGATCATGTGGACGAGGCCGTTGGCGATGAGGATGTCGGCCTGGATGATCTCGGCCGAGTTGACGTAGATGAAGTTGGTGTGGCGCGTGATGGACACCTTGTTGCCCTTGTCGGTTGACGCGAGCGAGCTCGCGTTCTTGAGCTCCCACACGTGCGACAGCTGGCCGGGTACGATGTGGTAGCGCAGGATGCGCTTCAGCTTCTCCTTGTCGGTGTCGGCGAAGGCCCCCGCCAGCTGCTGGAAGGCGGCGTTGTGCGGGGCGAAGATGGTTACGTCTTTCTGTTGGGCCACTTCGCTCATCAAGCCGGTGGCGTACAGCGCGCCGACGAAAGCGGTTAGATCGGTGTAGGCGCTGCGGGCGGTGGACTCGAGGGTCTCGGGGACGCGCATGACTGAGTCGATGACTTGGACGAGGCCGTTGTCAAACGCGAGGTCTTCCGTGAGAACGGTGCCGCGGGTAGCGAACCCAGAGGTGAAGACGACCTCGCCGCCTGGTTGCTTGGTGAGAATGAGGCGCTGGCCGCCCGTCACGTTGGAGAACTTCGCATCGGTCAATGACGTCGAGGCCCAGATAGAGTCGCCTTTGACGATGGAGGGCATGTCGATCGTTTTCTTGAGGATGTGGTATTTCAGGGTTGAAACGACGGTGCTCTCATTGTATGTGTTCCAGTTGCCTAGTTTCATGAAGGCATTGTCGTTCGGCGCAGCAATAGTCACATCTTTTGGTAAGTTTGCAAAGATTTCGGTGTGGTTCTGACGTCGTCAGTCGGGGCGTCCTGGGTGCAGGCCTGGATTCGAAATGCTCACCTTGACCAAACCGCGAAATGTTGTGAGATTTGCCTGACCGGCAAGCACACTCTCCAGGCTCGCAGCTTGGACGGTCGCCGGACAAAAAGCAACGGCAGAAAATGCAGCCAACAAGGCTGTGGAAAACCCCGGTACCATTTTCGGATAGCTACCCCGAATTAACGAAAATAAGATAAAAGAAATGGGAAAAGTCGACTATTTGCGGAAAGAATGAGCGTGACGAGGCCGTGGAATGGCAGGAACGCTGCAAATCGCCGTCGTGGTTGACACCACGGGTATTGTACATAAGGAACGACTTTTGACGAGAAACCTGAAGGTCGCAAGCTGAACCCAGGTTGGTTGCATCGCACCAGCCATGGCGTGCCTTTTTTTATCATTATCGGGGCCCCCAACAGCCAGCACCACCATCCCGTCGCCCCTGCCGCAGTCCCGCGACTTCAATGAGACCCTGAAATGGAACGAGATGAGGTGCCCGCCGGGGTGAAGCCAAGCCCAGCGCAGATTGGTTCAGTTCCATTCAATATAACCCCTGCTCCCCACACCATCTCCCTGCCGTGCCATGAGGCAGCACAGGGCAGCTTGTCGCTGGGCTGTGATTGGATTAAAGTCCTCGATTCTCTGGGGGAATTTGGTGAGGGCAAAATTTAAGTTTCCAGGCATCAACCATCGGGGGGTTCTGGCTGGTTCGCCCCGGCCCAGCCCGTTGGTGCGATGGGCTGCTAACCTTGAAAAGGGCATTGCTCAGTCATGCCATCCTCAGCCGGGCAGCGACCCAAACCTCTCTCCGGCATTCGGCAAGTGAGATATGGGGCTGAAAAAGAGAAGGAACAGACTTGGCAGAGGCACGGTTGAAGATGGCAGCAATGGTTGGGGTTTGGATTTGGTCAAGGTAAAGTGTGTTGGCAGATATCTTTATCTGCACGCATCCCACGATGCCCAATTTCGCGCCCTTCTCTACCCAAAGGGGGGCGCGACATTCCTGACTCCCAACTTCAGCCAGGCTAGTCAAACCTTGGCTGAAAAGACCACGATTCTCACGTCAGCGCCGTTTTCTAGCCAAGCTCAGCTGTACCCACCCCGCACCAGTTCTTGTGGGACGGAATCAGGAGCAAGGCCCCATTCAGGCCTGTCTGGTAATAATTATTGCACCAAGTATCACCGGGGAACATAAAGTCCCACTCGCCTTGAACATGACAACTAAGTAGTCAAGGAAACGGAACCACAATCAAACACCAACAACCGCGCAGGCTTGTCCGACAACCCAAAACGTGGCCCAAGGCTCAGTGAGAGGCTCCCGCTCCTGAACCCCATTATCATTAGTCCGCTACTCGGTCAGATTATAGATCTTCTGAATATCCTTCAAAGTCCCCTCAAAATCAATCTTGAGGTCCTTCAGCAGGCCGTCGTTGAAACCAAACACCCAGCCGTGAACGACGGGGAAGCGGTTCTTGGCGTACGACTGCTGCACGCAGGCCGTCTTGATGACGTTGCGGGCCTGCTCCTCGACGTTGAGCTCGACGAGGCGGTTGTAGCGGGCCTCCTTGTCGGGGATGGCGTCGAGCTCCTTCTCGTGCAGGCGGTAGACGTCGCGGATGTTACGCAGCCACGGGTTCAGGATGCCGAGGTTCTTGGCCGTCATGGCCGCCTGCACGCCGCCGCAGCCGTAGTGCCCGCACACGACGATGTGCTTGACCTGGAGGTGCTCCACCGCGTACGTGATGACGCTCATGACGTTCAGGTCCGTGTTGCACACCAGGTTGGCGATGTTGCGGTGCACGAACACGTGCCCGGGCTCCATGCCCGTGATCTGCTCCGCCGGGATCCGCGAGTCGCTGCATCCGATCCAGAGGTAGTCCGGGTTCTGCCCCGCCGAGAGCTTGACAAAGAAGTCCGGGTCGCTAGCCTGCTTCTCCCGCGCCCAACAGCGGTTGTGCTCGAATACGCGGTCGTGCGTCTCGCGCAGGTGGTCGGTGATGTCTCTCTCGGCCATAACGCGCCAGCTGTTGTTGTTATTGCTCTGGTTGGGGTTGTGATTGGAGTTGGAGCTCGCAGGTGTGTTGTTGGAGTTGGAGTTGGAGTTGGGTGTTGTGGGCGGCGGGATGATGAGGAGAAAAGGCTTGAGTGCCGGGGTGTGGTTGCGAAAATCGGCGATGACAAGATTCGTTGTTGGGGGGTTGTGCGTCGGGTGAGCGACCGCAGGAGTGGTGTACAGACACGTGAGTTGACCATGGTTACCCCGTCTTCAAGTTTCTCCTTCCCTTCGGTTTCGCAGGAGTGGGACACAGTCAACGTTCATTCGGCGGCAGCGAGAAGGAAACACGTAAATTTACCGGGCGAGTGCGCTGGCTGTCTCAACGGTTGGGGCAGGAACGCGATAGCAGCCCTAACCCTTCAATTATCGCCATCAAGAGAAGGGCAACGTGGCGGCGATCGGCAGACTCAGCGACTGATCCATGATGTCTCGTCCTTGCGTATAGTTATTCTTGGTTAAAGACGGAGTGGAAGATAGGTATACATTAGGTAGTTGACTCGTACTGCCACACCGAATGAAGTAGTCCCTATATTTACATACGAGCCAACTATCACACGATTTCCCTCTGATCTCCTCGCTCCATACCCCTCGTCTCTTCGCCCTCATCCTTGGGTTTTCGTGCGTGGGGGTTTCCGAGACACCGGTCAGAAGAAGCTTGGCGATTTCTTCCTTCCCCACCGACTCAGATCGGCCGATCTTCCTTCCTTGGCGCTCACTGTCAGAATCAACTTTGAACTTCGCACGCCCTACGCTTTCCCGATTCGAAACCACCGAACCCTTCTCTCTCTCGGCCAGTTGCCAAATGGTCAGAAGCTTACCGGCTCGTTATTTCAACTCTTCCATTCCGCATCTCAAACCTTTTTGAGACTTTTGCGTTGGTATATCCTCCGATACCGGCAGCTAGCCAAGCCATCAAAGATCAGCAAACCAGCATCGACCGCCAATAACCGACACAGCGACAAGGTGAAGACATTTATGGGCCGGCGGGGAATCATTCTTGAGTCTCCGGCCCCAAGTTCCAAGCCCGTACTCATCCTGGGCGAAAATGCCGTCTTGCATTCCCAATGTAACGGTCCAAAGCGGTCACGTCGAGGTTACACAGGACTCGGGACCTGATCCGGCTTCACAAGTGAAAGGTTTAATACGCACGAAAATTGTGTGCTTGATATGATGACCAAGGACGCCAGTTATTGGAAGACTCCAGCGCTAATATTTCAAGTCTTGCGAGTCAGTAATCGCAGCCGTGCACTAGGGGACCTTTTGCTATGGAAGTTCCATTGGGCTATCAAGGGCTCGATCAGCTTCTTGTGTGATTGAGGCTGAGCCGGAAAAATCCCCGCGTCTAGGCACACCCGCCTTTCCGGATTGTCGAGAGCAGCCCAAGGCTGCCTATCATTCAGGACGAGGGCACACTTTCTGGTTGACCAGGTCTGCACCCCATCACCATTAGCACAAACACGTAGTTTTCGACTCTCACGCTTCTGTTCTCTCCAGACATCAAATCTGAGAATTTGAAACGCAGACTGCAACCTCAGTCAGACATGGATCCTCTTAGCACGGCTGCCAGCGTCATCGCCGTCATCCAGCTAAGGGCTTAAGGAAGGTCCTGACAAATCTAGAATGGCCATTAAACGAGAGAGAAATAAAGGAGGTCTTTGCGACCATCGAGCGTGAAAAGTCACTGGTGGAACTAGCTTTGGCTAACAACTCCCGGAAACTCATTCAGAAAATCAAGAGGACTTCGGCCCTCAATACAAGGCAACTTGCGGAGCTGATTAAGACAATCAAGACAAGATCGGATGAGAGCGAGGGCCGTTTATCGAAGCTGAAGGAAGAGGTAGCAGTCCTTCAACATTCTCAAATCGGCTTGCTCGATGGCCTGGACAGACTTCATCTCCGCCAGGACAACCAAGATTCACTAGAGGAACGGTCGGCCATCCTCAACTGGCTAGCGCCGGTCGACTACAGCTCTCAACAACGCGACTTCATCCGCCGGCGGCAAGAAGGAACCGGCAAGTGGCTTCTCGAGTCTGAGGAATACCAGGCGTGGTTGAGTGCACAAGGGAAGACCCTCTTCTGCCCAGGCATCCCCGGGGCTGGAAAGACCAGCCTCGCATCGATTGTCATTGACGACCTGAGTTCGCAGTTCGCAAAAAATACAACAATTAACCTTGCATACATCTACTGTAATTTTCAACGGCAAAACGAGCAAAATGTCGAGGGCTTTCTCACAAATCTTCTGAAACAGCTCGTTGAGTGTCAATCTTCCGTGAAGGATCTTTATGAGCAGCACAGGACAAAACGACCCTCGCTTCACAAAATCTCGGCAATCTTCCACACAGTCATTTCAATATCTACCCGGGTCTTCGTCGTGGTCGACGCCATAGACGAGTGCCAAGAGTCCGATGGCTGCCGGAACAAGTTCCTCTCTGAGCTTTTTGATGCCCAAGCCAGGTATAGGATCAACCTTCTGGTCACGTCACGGTTCATTCCAGATATAGTGGATCGATTTCGAGATGCCGTTACCTTGGAGATCCGTGCTAGCAGCGAAGATGTAGAACGATATATTGAGGGCCACTTGGATCGGCTTCGGCCTTTCGTTCAGAAAAAACCGCCCATTACAGCAAGAGATCATAACCGGCATATCCAATTCCGTTGATGGAATGTGAGTTTGCTAGCGTAGTTGTTGAGGCGTCCTAAAACCGCTAACGCCCTCCTCAAGATTTCTCCTAGCACAGCTATATCTTCATTCACTCGACGACAATACTACGCCGAAGCAGATGAGGAAAAGCAATAAAAAGTTTTGGAAGTTCCGGATCAGGCGAGGACGCAAAGATACAAGCTCTAGCTCACGCTTACGAACAGGCCATGGAGAGAATCAACGGACAAAAGCCTGGGCTGACGAGGCTCGCCATGGACGTACTCGCATGGGTGACGTGCGCAAGGCGACCACTCACTACCGTAAAGCTTCAACACACGCTGGCACTGGAAGTAGGCGAGCCCGATCTCGACGGGACAACCTTCCGCAAATTGAGGACATGGTCGCCGTGTGTGCCGGATTGGTGGTGGTGGACGAAGAAAGCGGCATCATCCGGCTGGTGCACTATACCGCCCAAGAGTACTTTAAGTGGGCACAGACACAGCGCAAGTGGTTCCCAGACGCGGAGCGGGACATCGCCGTGGCTTGCGTCACGTACCTCTCGTTTGACATCTTCTCTACCGGCCGCTGCCATAACATCGAGGAGCTTTGGGAACGGCTATGGTCGAATCCCCTGTACCGCTATGCTTCGTGTCACTGGGGGCACCATGCCTGCAAGTATCCGGCAGAGTCTGTGGGCGTTATCAAGTCCCTGGAAGATGAGAAAAAAGTGGAAGCGTCGAGCCCAAGTATGGGTGGCAGACCAAAGCTACCAGAGTCCTTACAGCAACTACGACGGCGCTTCATCTGGCCTCGTACTTTGGAATTTATGACGCTGTGGCCAGCCTTCTTCCAAGCTGGCAGGATGTGGACTTGGCGGGCACGAGGGGCTGGACGCCTCTGTCGTATGCCGCCGTGGGCGGGCATGCGGTTGTAATACGACTGCTCCTGGACAAGGGTGCAGACGCCGACAGAACTGTTTCTTTCTCAACGCCGCTATATTGGGCAGCGAAGAACGGGCACATGGCGGCTATGCGGGTGTTGCTCGAGAAAGGGGCCGACGTCAACGCCATATCCCGTGGACAGACACCCCTGTCAATTTCCGCGAAGGTGGGAAATGCAGATGCGAGACGGCTATTTCTCAACAACGATGCCGTGGTTGATATGAAGGATGACAACGGACGGACCCCCTTATCGCATGCCGCCGCATCCGGGTATGAGGGGGTCGTCCGGCTGCTGATCGAGAACAATGCTGCAGTCGATATGGCGGACGAAGAGGGCTTGACACCTCTAGGGCATGCCGCCGCATCCGGGCAACAGGTGGTCGTTCGGTTGTTGGTTGACAAGGGAGCTGCAATAAACACGAAGGAAATTGAGGCGGTGGCACCATTGTTGGTCACCGCTTATGAAGGCCATGAGGGCATCATACGGCTGTTGCTCGACAAGGGCGGTGAAGTCGAGATGACAGACCCAAGCGACAAGACACCTCTGTTGCTGGCCTCTGAATATCGGCACGGGGCTGCCATCTAGTGGCTTCTCGAGAAAGGGACTCTGGTTGAAGTGAGGGATACGGATGGTCGGACGCCGTTGTCACAAGCTGCGGAATGAGGTCACGATATTGTCACATCGCTGCACATCAGCAACAGCGCCATGATCGAAGCGAGGGATAGAAACAATACAACGCCCCTGGGATATATTTTAAAGGCCGAAACCGGGAGCTTTTACGGCTGTTGGTCGATGCAGGCGCCAGCGTCGATGCAAAAAGTTGGTATGACAAGACGCCATTGGTGCAGGCCGCTGATAATGGGGACGAGGCGCTCATACAACTTCTACTCGACAAAGGCGCCAACATCGAGATTGAAGGTTACGGTAATCGGACACCATTGTTCTTTCTATGCTGTTGTTAAGGGACAACCGGACGCCGTGTGGCTGCTGCTTGGTATGGTGCAGCCATCGACACGAGAGATCGCTAGGCGCACGCGCTGTATTGGCGCGAGATGCGACGTGAGCGATGTACACTGCTGCTCGACGAGCGCTGTATCGATGCAAGATGATCGTGACCGACGCACTGATTGGCGCTCTCTGGTATGAGCGTCGTCTACTCTGATGACGGTGCTGCTGTGACACAGATGATGGCGACAGCGCTGCAGTACGCGTCATCAG